ACCAGTCATGTGACCTCGCTGACGCAACAATAGTTATAAGAAATGTTAACCTATCTACATAAAGATAGAGTCAAAAATAAAAATTAAATAACGGCAAAAGGTGATGGTAAATAGAGAAAATGATAATGTGATGCAATATATAGGAAATAATATCTATATAGAGAAATTAAAGCATGAATAATACTAATACACAACCAATTCGAAACACTTAAACGTCAAACTAATATATTTGCGCCATCTTTTGGCAGTTTTTTCAAAATTAAAAAAAAATGTCGCGCAGGTGCGTAAATATTTATTTATTTTCAATGTTTTTATTTTTATTACTAACATTCCTGTTTGGGCTGCAGTGTCACTGCATTTGCTGCATGAGCATAGTTACGCCACTGGCTATCATAAAATAGTGCGGTGCCAATAAATATAACATAACATTTAAGGACAACTAGCTAAGGGCCTGTTGGTCCATCGAGGCTGTCTCATTCACTAAACTAGACTTTAAATAAGTAGATAAACATATTAACAGCTTGCACCAATTCTTGGACATCATTAAACTTACAATGTTACATTGTACAATAATAAAACAAACAACAAAAAATAACTCATGGAAATTCAGTAAGAGAAGAAGTTAGAACAAGAAAATATATGAAATAGCATTAATATTATTATACATATGAAAAATTTGTATTGTTTGCTGTTAAGGGCAAAGCTACACGATAGTCTATAGATATCGGTATTCTGCCTATCATGGGTATCGAACCCGCTTTCTAGAATTATAAGTCCACAGACATATCGCTATGCCAATGGAGGGACGAACTATTTAAATTAAGACTACGTTCTATTTATGATAGGAATATGCTGTTTCGTGTTATTCTACTTATATTCATTTTTCGTATTATCACATAAATATACATATGTATTTATATTTATTAAATCAACAAACAGTAAAACAATTATCTTTTTTTTTATAATTAATAAGTTCTTGTTCCTATATGACACATTTTAATTTTGAAAAATATTTTTTGAAATAATTGGTTTCAGGCATGCTTTTTATAATTTTGGATATTTTTAAAAATCTTGTTTTGTTTTGAATCAAATAATTTGGTAATGTTAAAATATATACACACACACATGCCTTCACACACAATAGATGACGCTTTTTTAATAGAGGGGTGAAATTAGAGTTGTAATATTGATTTTATCATGATGAGTTCTTCGTTGACAGCTTTGATGGAGAATAATTTTATGTTAACTAATGAAATTTGAAAAAGATTTAATATTTTAGCAGATTTTTATTTTTAAAAACGGAAAGGTTTGAAGTAACGTTTAAGTAAACAGTGACCAAGAGTTGATTCATTTGGCAACAACTTGAACAAGTTACAACTAACTTGCAAGCTTACATTTTAACTATAAGTACTTGAGTTGGACATAGAAAATAGATTATCGTACGTTGTCATTCAATAAATTCATTGGTAGGCCATACTTACTCGTTTTGTATCGTATCACAGCTCATTGTTTTAACTTTTTAAGTTACTGCTGAGTACTGTCTAATCTTAATCAGTTTTATTCAGTTATTGATTGACTCATTGAGTATTTAGACACTACTTGGGCTTATCCGTTAATGTAGCTCTCATTACATGCACGCATAAACTTGTTTGTTTATATTATAACTTGTAGGATGTATGTTTTTGAGATTTAGTTGGAGTTAATACATTAAGTACGAAAAACTGGTGTTTAAAGTACGTGTAATATTAAAACACGCAGGTAATGTTAAAGATTAAAAAATCGTTAGGCCTACTAAACACTGGCCAATGTTTTGGCATTCTGGTCATTTTTGTAGGAAGTGAAGTCAGAGAATTTTTAGGATTAACAAAATCTAAAAGTTCATTTAAAGTGTGACATTAAAGTACAAAAAAAAAGAAAAGAAAAAAGAGTGAGATAAGATTTTTCTAAGGAAAAAAGCTTTAAAAATTCACCTTTGAACACTTCATGCCAACAATGTTCAAGCGTGAAAAGAAAGCTGGGAAAATGTTTCTGGTCCGGGTAACCACAATGGATGCAGAGCTGGAATTCAAACTTGATGTAAGTTGCACACCTGTAACTGTGTAAGTCTTTAATTGTTTAGTACTTTAAATGCTAAGTGTTTGGTGGCATGTTACTTAATCAGTTCAGTACAATGAGTAATGGTGTTGTTTCATTAGGTTAAAGTTAAAGCTGTGTGATGATTTAAATTTTATTTTTAAACAGTAGACCGTGGAAAATTTTAAACTAATGAAAAAAATGTTGTTGCTTACTTAGATATATAATTTTTTTAAAAAGTTAATTTAATGTGGATATGGTTACAAAAGTTGAAGTAGGGGAATATTTTGCTAAAAGTGATCTGCATAATTGTTTGAAGTTTTGTTACGTGTTAAGATAGAAAGAAAGGAAATTTGGAGGTCTGATGTCCAGAAAGCCACATTTAAGGCCATGAAATAAGTTTTAAATGTTCTCTTTTGTTTTGACAATAGAATATATTAGCAATATTTCTCACCATTTGCTCTCTATGGGAAATATTGGAATTGACTTGAATCTTGTAAATGTTAATTCCTAGGTAGTAAATAGAAAAATCAAAAGATTAATAAGAAACAAAGCACCAGGGCCTGACAAGGTTTTTTCTCATGGTTTTAAAAGGAGTCAAAGATCAGATTTGCAGGCTTTTCTTTCATTTTTGATAAGTTAATAAACAATGGCCATGTGCCTAAGGATTATCAAGTTGCTTATGTTATCCATGTTTGTAAAGTGGGTGATAAGAATTGTCCTGAAAATTATCAATCACATAGTTTTCCTTTTATAGTGGGAAAAATTCTAGTCTGATAAAAGAAGCTTTAGAGAAATATAAATGAAAGCCAACATGAATTCACTTAAGGGAACCTTGCCTTTGTAACCTGTTATATTTTTTGAGTATTTAACTTGTCTGGATGAAAGAAAGAGTTTGAACTTGGCATTCATAGATTTTTGAAAAGCTTTTGATAAGGTGACACATAAAATAGTAGTAAAATCATATTGATAGTGGTTGGAAAAAACTAATTATTTGGATTGTAAGGTTGAGAGAAAATGAAATGTTGTTTAATATTTGGAAAAGACAAGTTAGGCTTCAATTTAGACAGTTTTATTTTTCTAACAGGGAGATTGATTTATAGAATGAGTTGCTGTTGGCACTAGTGGAGGCCAGCAGTTTACAGGGTTGTAAGTGGGAAATTAGAGATTTTCTGAAAAGTGAAGGATTTGTTTAAATTTTCACTTTTATGAAGGACGCCTGTTAAGGACCAAATAGTTCCTTGTTGTCTGTAAATTACAGAGTCCAGTCAAACTGGACCCTTATTAGGCCAGGCTTAAAAATATTTTTGTTTGTAGTAACCCTAAACTGATTTAAAATGTGGGTAGGTAGGTAGATATTTTTGTTTTCAAATTGGTTGGCAAAAATAATTTTAGAAATGCTACTAGTCCCATGATCATCAATAACATAACATGTTAAACCATGAATAAAGTTAATACCAACATTTATTCTATGAAGAGAATTACAGAAATTTTAAACCAAAAAGAACTCATTTTAAGAAACTTAACATTAACACGGGAAAATAATTTAATTTTGGGCAGTAACCACCACATCCTGTTTAACTCTTTCCAGACGAGTCATGGGTGAAAGGCCATGTCATCGTGTTTGTTGAATCACATTCAAATTTTTTTGAACAACTATTTCATATATTCATGTTAATAAGTTTGGTATCAAATTGTAGATTATAATTCAAATTGTAGTATTATACCTTACTCAATTTCTTAATTTAAAAGTAAATATTTAAAAAACACAGTTAAACATCAATTTTGTGTCATGTGGTATGTTGAATTTAGCACTGGTTCAAATAAGATGTTTATGTCATAGTACTAATTCTATAGTTTTGTATGAATTGGGAACTCAAATTACTGATATTTATAAGCTAGAATACAAAATAAGAACATTTTTTCAATTTGCTAAGATATTGCTCATGTAATGAATCAAACACAGTGGCACCCTGTCCACATCTTTCCAATTTTTAAAATGCTCCCTTATATACACTTGTATATATGACATGAATAACCAATTCAAAGCTCAGAATGTCTCCCTAGTGGCTTTCTCAGCCATTTTAATGTGTTTCTTTCTTTCCAACCAAGATTTCAAGGAGATAAGTTGTCTTTAGTCTGCTCAAAATTTCATATTTTTTTAGATTGAAATACAGCTTAGTTACTAAGCTTAATAAACTATAGTGAAATTCTTTGGTATTGATATAGTAATTTATGATTTTTTGGTTATTTCCAAGCCAGTTCCCTTGGCTGTGGTTTCGCTAGATAGTTTCGCTAGATATACAAAAGAGGAAGTTTGTTTATTTTGTTCGCTATAGGAAACCAAACGGTTGAACTTGTAAATTTTAAAATAACTTCATAATAACCAGTTTTTTACAAGAAATGTAATGGTGCTATTCATTTTGTATTTGGTGTAGTATTTAATGACAAAATTGACAATTAATGATTATTGCACCATTTTTTTGTAGTAAAATTTTTTTGCAATATACATACATAAGCACGTTTTGCACATAGAAAGTGTTATGGCGGGAGACACTCAGATCACCTTGCTGTCAATTCAGTATTTCCAAAAACAGTTTTCTTTAAATAGTGCTAAGCGGTTTCATAAGTGATTTAGTAACTTTGTGAATTGCAAATTATTATTTAGTGATACAGGTGGTTATGCCACCCAAGAAATGCCCTTTCTATGGAAAGTCTTCTGCCGCTAAAGGAATGCAAGCACAAAGAGCAGCTGAAACAGAAGAAGAACACAATCAAAGACTTCAAGCACAAGCTGCAAGACAGGCTGCTCAAATACAGGAAGAGCCTTTGGAACAACGTAATGTTAGAGTTCGAGCTCAAGCTGAAAGGCAGGCTACTCAAAGACAGCAAGAAACTGTTGAACAGCACAAAGCCAGAGTTCAGTCAGAATCATCAAGGCAAGCTGGATATAGACAACAAGTAACTTCTGAACAACATCAAACCAAACTTGAAGCACAAAAAGTAAGACAAATAACTTATGGAGAGCAAGAAACAGAGGAGCAACATGATGTACGACTTCAGGCTTAAAGAGCAAGACAAGCTCAAACACGATCTAATTTCAAATAAAGCTTTGTTTGATTAAATGTTTTTTTTATTTATTGCATCACAGCTTTTGACTACTTACTGAATAATTTGCTGAAAAAAATACTGATCTTTACATTTCAAATCTAAATTTTCACCATTCAATGCCGGGTAACTCAGCTAGTATATGTATGTATGTATATATATATAAAAAACCTTAAAAAAATTTTCATTTTATATCCACCAAGTGCAAAATTTAAAAAGTCTTAGCAATCTACGTCAAGCAGCAACCGAGTACAAAACTTGTGACTACAAGAGATAATTGTTTGCTTTACTTCTTTATTTATTGTTCTATGTCTTAAGAAAAATACGTTTAAGAACTTATTTCTAAATAGCAATAATCTATTTACTTATATGTAATAATTGAAATGTGACTGTATTTTACAAAATACTAGTCCACTAAAACACAGCCAAGACAGGTCACTTTGTAAAGACTAAAGATCAGTTTTATATTATTTGATACGGTAACCTCAGTGCATGAGCATCATATCTCATTGTAACTTCTGTATTATTAGTCAGGCATGGCTAAAAGGTCAATATAGTAAAAATAATAAATATATATAAATGTATAATATTATGAGATTTGAGCTATTTAGTCTAAACATGTTATGTTTTTGTGTTATAATTTGTAGTCATTCTAGAACAAAAAAGGCATATAGCTATTTCCTAATTTTTTTAATGTGGTTATGAGATTGGTCAAATTGACCAAACACATACAGAGATTTGTCACAGAAAATAACAGATAAAATATAAAGTTTTTTCTTAAGAAATGTTTGATTACTATCTGGACATTACAAAGATTTTGCATGTGAAATTTGAAAATTTTCTGATCACAAAAGTATTTTTAGTTTTAAAATGAAAATTACTTTGTATGTTGGATAGGCAACATGCGAAAAGAAAAACAAGGCATGAGAAAAACATTGCTTTACAAACCTTAATGCTTAATAAAAAAAAATTATATTTTGCTTATGAATGCATTGTAATGTTTACAGATAATCTGCCAAATTTCAATAACATATGCTTACTAAGTTAAAAGTTATAGCATGAAACTATAACAAGCACAAAATAGTTATGAGTTCGGTCCCAGGGACCAAGCCCATGCTGAAAAGAGTTAACTAACTTCAGGGGCATCAATGAACACTTGATTGGTCCTATCCACAGTTCCATGAAGAGGTAAATGCTCAAATAATTCTGATGACACACACTTCCAAGTTATTTTGTCTCTCTTGTGCAGATGGGTGGTTTGCTTTTGCATTTAACAGAATCACATGTAGGCAACACCACTTTGAATTTTGTGACACGTTCCTCACTTTTTGCAGCACCCTTTTGTCTACATTGGATAGAGATTATGCATAAAATGAGAACTCCAAGTGTGATCGACAATCTAGATGTACCCAAACGAAGACAATTCCATGAAGTTTGTCACCTGTAAATGAAAATAATTAAACATAGCTATAACTGTGGACATTGCCTGCATTGTGGAGTAATCTTAATTGTTCTGGTTAAGAATGCCTATGATCTGTACCTCTAACCCTAGTAGTGATTCCTTCAGGCAGATGGTGCTAAATGTCATCACTCCCAAAATGATATTTATGGCACATGACAAAAACGCTAAAACAATGGTGTTGTCAGTCGAAGAATGCACTAAAAGATCTGCCAAGAAACGTCTTTTGCTGATGTCAAAAGTATGTAGCAAAATTTATAATACTGTTACAAGTGCCCATTCCTACTTTACAGGTTAATGAAAATACTTGCCATGCTTTAATAAAGCCATACTCTGGGATATTTAGTTTTCTTTACATTATTTGAATACAAACCTTACTTTCTGCAGTTATTGGTGCACCACGCCTATGTTCGTATTTCAGTATTGTCTCCCTCAA